GGAGTGTTGCGGCCTCCCACTTCCAGGCGTGTGCTAGAAGACTATAATCGCCATTTTGTGTGTCATGTGATCAAAGTTGCTGTAAAGTATCAATGAGGAAATCAGTCATAGTGTTGTTGCATCACTCACTCGCGCAGTTCTAATTTTGATTGGTGCCGCTGTCAGATATGCCAGAAAAGGACAGGTTGATTTTGTTCTTTATCCTGGGGAAAAATAAAAATGAAAACATATAGTGGGTTGATTAATCTATTAAAATTATTTGTGTGGTTAACCGTTGTTTAAAATTATGTAGAACTGCAAAGAAACCCCGATAAATGCGCAATTTGGACAAAAAGGATTCTTAATGTCTAGTATGTGGAGAAATAAACTTAAAAATGTAGTGAAATCTGGCCAAATTCATGAAAAGAGCGAGGGGTAGGCAACGCGGTAAATAGCCGGATCTTCTTGTTCTTCTTCTTCTTCTTCTTCTTCTTCTTCTTCTTCTTCTTCTTCTTCTTCTTCTTCTTCTTCTTCTTCTTCTTCTTCTTCTTCTTCTTCTTCTTCTTCTTCTTCTTCTTCTTCTTCTTCTTCTTCTTCTTCTTCTTCTTCTTCTTCTTCTTCTTCTTCTTCTTCTTCTTCTTCTTCTTCTTCTTCTTCTTCTTCTTCTTCTTCTTCTTCTTCTTCTTCTTCTTCGTCTTTCCGGTGAAAAATACTGGTTGTTCGTCCACATCTAGATTTTGGTCTGATTGTAGAACTTGATTATTATGTGCACATTCTCTTTGAAGTCGGAGTGCATCTGCCTGTGAGGCAAGGAACCAGCAGTAAAACGGATGCACACGTAACACACAGGTTCTGGAACAGGACTGCAGTCCAGAAGTGGACGAACAACCAGAACTTTCTGCCAGAGTTTACAGCTGGTGAAAGCGAAGAAGAAGAAGATGTGCACATTCGTTTTACAGATCTAACTTATTTTCATGCAGATTGCTGGTTCCTCGTCTCTCAGGCAGATGTACTCCATCTTCGAAAGAAACGCCCTTTTACAACATGCTTGTTGAGTCGCCACTGGATATACCCGCCCCGCCCCCCCCACCCCGCCCTCTCTCTCTCTTTTCCACAAAATAGGGCCAAGGAATGCACACGGGAGTCGTACCTGGAACGACAGGTCAAGTACACGGACCTGATCCGTGATTCTTACCAACTGTGACCTCCAACATTAATCAATCAGCGTGACACTACAAGAGATCACACGATGAACTACTTTGACAGATTTGCAATTCCTGAATCAATGTGATATGTAATGTTGCCTCAAAAACTGTCATTACTGACATCGTACTCACAATGGCACTGACCGGAATGACAGTCCCGGAAGGACAGCGAGGCAGTTTTCCTGCGTTGCTCAAACAATAGTTTGTCATAATTCCGCCTAATCAAAGGCGGCGAGATCGATGAGTGTCTGCATAAGCTAACGGTAAACACGGTGATCGTCTGCTGTACTTGACACGAAACATAACTTGCATTCGGCCTTGTAGGTTTACGAGGTCAAACAGTTTACCTGACGCTCTGAAAGTCGTGCGTCGTTCAGTTTACAAATGCTTAAAATCAGGGATTTTTGTGTGCGCCGCTGTCATTTTGTCGAGAGAGACTGGGTCGTATGGAATAGCACAGGCATAACAAAAGAGAACTAAACAATTTTCAGTTGACCAAGAGGGTAAGAAAGAAGCTGGTGTTGGATAGGAGAACATCTGAGAACAATATAACTAGAATGTCTTTTCACTAGATCCCACAAGGGCATAAAAATAAAAGGAGACCATAAACACACGGAGAAAGCAGCTAGAGAGTAAAGTTAAGAAGATGCGGAGAACATGTTGCGAGCTGCATGCAACAAAGAAGGATAGAACGGCTTGGTATGAGCTGCTTGAGGGCCAATGCCTCACTAGAGGATAGAAGGCAGAAGAAGAAGAAGAAGAAGAAGAAGAAGAAGAAGAAGAAGAAGAAGAAGAAGAAGAAGAAGAAGAAGAAGAAGAAGAAGAAGAAGAAGAAGAAGAAGAAGAAGAAGAAGAAGAAGAAGAAGAAGAAGAAGAAGAAGAAGAAGAAGAAGAAGAAGAAGAAGAAGAAGAAGAAGAAGAAGAAGAAGAAGAAGAAGAAGAAGAAGAAGAAGAAGAAGAAGAAGAAGAAGAAGAAGAAGAAGAAGAGGAAGAAGAAAGAAGAAGAAGAAGAAGAAGAAGAAGAAGAAGAAGAAGAAGAAGAAGAAGAAGAAGAAGAAGAAGAAGAAGAAGAAGAAGAAAAAGAAAAAGAAGAGGAAGAAGAAGAAGAAGAAGAAGAAGAAGAAGAAGAAGAAGAAGAAGAAGAAGAAGAAGAAGAAGAAGAAGAAGAAGAAGAAGAAGAAGAAGAAAAAGAAGAAGAAGAAGAAGAAGAAAAAAGAAGAAGAAGAAGAAGAAGAAGAAGAAAAAGAAGAAGAAGAAGAAGAAGAAGAAGAAGAAGAAGAAGAAGAAGAAGAAGAAGAAGAAGAAGAAGAAGAAGAAAAAGAAGAAAAAGAAGAAGAAGAAGAAGAAGAAGAAGAAGAAGAAGAAGAAGAAGAAGAAGAAAAGGAAGAAGAAGAAGAAGAAAAGGAAGAAGAGGAAGAAGAAAAGGAAGAAGGGGAAGAAGAAGAAGAAAAGAAAGAAGAAAAAGAGCGGAAGAGGAACAAAAGAAGAAGAAGAAGAAGAAGAAAACAGAAGAAGAAGAAGAGGAAGGAGAAAGAGAAAAGGAAGAAGAGCGGAGGAGGAACAGAAGAAGAAGAAGAAGAAGAAGAAGAAGAAGAAGAAGAAGAAGAAGAAGAAGAAGAAGAAGAAGAAGAAGAAGAAGAAGAAGAAGAAGAAGAAGAAGAAGAAGAAGAAGAAGAAGAAGAAGAAGAAGAAGAAGAAGAAGAAGAAGAAGAAGAAGAAGAAGAAGAAGAAGAAGAAGAAGAAGAAGAAGAAGAAGAAGAAGAAGAAGAAGAAGAAGAAGAAGAAAGAAAAGAAAAATAAGAACAAGAAGCAGAAGAAGGAGCAGAAGAAGGAGAAGAAGAAGAAGAAGAAGAAGAAGAAGAAGAAGAAGAAGAAGAAGAAGAAGAAGAAGAGAGGAAGGAGAAGAAGAGACGAGGAAGGAGTAAAAATAATAATAAAGCAATGAATATATCAATAATAATAATGAAAAGAAAAATAATAAATAATAATAAGAAGAAGAAGAAATCCACCACACTTCGGAATAGATGGTTTTCCCCATTGTTGTTCCCCCCCCCCCCCCCCAGTGTGCGTGCGTGGTGTGGGCGCGCATGTGTGTGTTTTGTTCCTCATTCACAACCCACACATAGTGGCAACATTATGTTGGTGTAGAGCCTAGACAGTCTGTTACTAGCTGCCGTGTTGTTTATTGTCCCCCGCGTTGAACTGACAAATGTGTCAATTGTTGTTCCATCGAAAGGGTAACTGCAGTAGTGATACACCCACCCTGTAGGGATTAGAGTATTGTCCTTTGTAATCCACATAAGTTAGTAAAGTTAGTTCGTAACACATCGTTTTTCTGGTTTGAAATTTTTAGTCTGGTTGATGGAAACCCGCGAATAGGTTAGTTGCGTATCCTTTACAGGACGTTGCAGAACCAACCCCAACAGCCCCTGGCTGTTGAGTGGTTTTTCTGAGCAAATTTACGTCTAGTAGTTTGCCATTGCTTCCTGGACGGTGGGCTTTCTTGATACGACTGTCGAAACCAACGCAAGGCGCATAGCCCGCAGCTGGGATCGAGCCCGGCATCCCGAAGCGTTCGCATCGACTTAGTCACAGTACCGACATCTTGTCATGACAGGTAATATTATTGAGACAATCTTGCTTCGGATGGGATTGTTTGTTACATGTCTTTTTCAAGTCTGAAATTTTAATGCGGATGATCGATATTGGCGGGTAGACAAACATACAGAAAGACGGAAGGACAGACAGAATTGATAGATAAATGGAGAGACAGACAGACGGACGGATAGATCTAGGGACGGAGGGGGTTGGGGAGATAGATGGGTGGGTGGTGATTAGACAGACAGACAGACAGACAGACAGACAGACAGACAGACAGACAGACAGACAGACAGACAGACAGACAGACAGACAGACAGACGGACGGACGGACGGACGGACGGACGGACGGACGGACGGACGGACGGACGGACGGACGGACGGACGGACGGACGGACAGACAGACAGACAGACAGACAGACAGACAGACAGACAGACGGACGGACGGACGGACGGACGGACGGACAGACAGACGGACGGACGGACGGACGGACAGACAGACAGACAGACAGACAGACAGACAGACAGACAGACAGACAGACAGACAGACAGACAGACAGACAGACAGACAGACAGACAGATAACGCCTTCTGTTACACTTTCTTCTGCTTCTTCGCGATCAGCGTCTGTGAACTCTGCGAAAGTTCTGCCTGTTTATACACTCCTAAACTTGAGTTTTGCGTGTACATCGGTTTTTCTGTGTTTAGTTTGTTTGTATGTGGACTGTTGGTTCCTTTCCTCTCATGGCGATTAACTCTGAAGGAAACACCCACAATCAGTCGCCTCCTGTGACATACTTTTGGGGAGAATTTTGGGAGCGGTGTTTTTTCTTCAAAATTAGTTAGTTAGTTAGTCTTTCCTCTTGTGTCGAGTGCGGCACATAGGGCAGAGGTCATGACTCTCCATGCATGGCGGTTCGTTGCAATCTGTTGTAGGTCTTGGAAGTTTGAGTGGTCCATGAGCGAGCCTTCCCTGATGATAGTTCTACGTAGAGTTTTCCTTGGTCTTCCACGAGATCTTTTCCCCTGTGGTGTCCAAATGAGGGCTTGGTAAGGAAGTCTTGATTTATCCATTCTAAGGGCGTGGCCGACATAGTTTCAGCGGCGTTTTCGTATAAAATTAGACACATATTCTTGCCTGGGTTTTTGCCTTATTTGTGTATTGGTTCGGAAATCTGACCATTTGAAATTTAGTATTCTTCTAAGGCATTT